CTTCATAAATCAAATTATAATAAATTACAATATTTAATCCTTATATTCATGAACACACTACATAAAGTGAGTTATGTTTTTGAAAATAACTATTTTTTCTAGCATTATATTAATCCCAGGAGGTCTTGTTTAGTCCTTTTAGACGATTAAATCTAAATATATACATTTTTCCTTAAGTAGAATTATAATTTCTGATTTTTCCTTTATCTATAAATTCTGTGTAGCAAGGGGATGAGTTTATCATTGAACATGGGCTTATCATTGAACATGAGTTTATCATTGAACTTTGTCTTATCACTGAACATCAGTTTATCATTGAACATGGTCTTATCACTGAACATGAGTTTATCATTGAACATGGTCTTATCACTGAACATGAGTTTATCATTGAATATGGTCTTATCACTGAATATGAGTTTATCATTGAACATGGTCTTATCACTGAACATGAGTTTATCATTGAACATGGTCTTATCACTGAACATGAGTTTATCATTGAACAGGGGCTAATCATTGGACATGACTTTATCATTGAACATGAACTTATCACTGAACATGAGTTTATCATTGAACATGGTTTATCATTGAACATGGTCTTATCATTGAACATGAGTTTATCATTGAACATGATCTTATCACTTAACATAAGTTTATCATTGAATATGGTCTTATCATTGAACATGAGTTTATCATTGAACATGGTCTTATCATTGAACATGAGTTTATCATTGAACATGGTCTTATCATTGAACATGGTCTTATCATTGAACATTTGAACATGGTCTTATCATTGAACATTTGAACATGGTCTTATCACTGAACATGAGTTTATCATTGAACATGGTCTTATCATTGAACATGAGTTTATCATTGAACATGGTCTTATCATTGAACATGGTTTTATCATTAGCTTATCATTGAACCTGAGTTTATTGAGCATGGGCTATTTACAGTTAATATGGTAGCCTGTGGAACTGTTCAGGTTTCTACCAAATTCAGCTATGTCTGTACATGTTGTATGTCACCGTTGAAATGGTCATGAATTATTTAAACTTGTCAGAAGGTCCCTAAAATATACAATTTCACCATCCATTATTAATGAGTAAGTCAGCTATATATATATTTAAGTGTGGCTCATTTCCAAGGTGTTAAGTATAAATTGTCTCACAAGTGAACAATCCTAAATCAAGTTGCCACTGTTATTCTGTGTTAAAGGCATTTTGTTTGGAACAGTTTTGGTGAAAATTTATTTGTTTTATTCTTAAACATGTATTCTAATAAAGATACATTATCTCAGGCTTTAAGTAACATACAGAATATTCCCTGACAAACTAAACAGGCCTACACAATTATAGAATATTCACTGCAGCATACTTTTTGTAATTTCGCTTGTTTCTGTCTTGAATAATTAGCAATGTCATGTATACATATATCACATACCATATTTATGTGACATGGTGTAGGTTTGCTTATTATGATTGAGGAATTTGAAAAATTTAAGGAGGTTACAAAGGTTTCACCCTTTAACCCTTTCACCCCTAGATAACTTTAGTAGACTCTAAAATAGATTTGTCTAGGTGAGTCCATTATGGTCTACAGTGGTGAAAGGGTTAATGGTAGAATTATAAAAAAGATGAAAACATCATCAATTTTATAATTTCACAAATTTCTTGATTGTTTTTTTATGCAGTGAATAAATTAACTGATAAGAAAAACATATACTATGCTAATATACCAGTGCATTTGTTTAAACAACATTTCACACATTAGTTGTGGATAGGAATTTTAAACCCTTATACCTGAAAACGTCAGCTACTGTTATGTGCATTGCAGTAGTTCTGGCACTCCAAGACATAGATTTGTAACTAGGTGATTTCAAGACAAAAACTATGTGCTGCATTTCAAGACTACTGATTGATGAGTAGCTGGAAATATACATATGTCAATTTGAATTTGAATCTGACCTACTTTCTGTCAAGGCATGTTTTCCTGGCATTCTGAACAATATTGATCTATTCCTAGCTTGTGCTGACAGAGGCAGCTTTGCCGGAATAACGACATACTGATTCCATTTGGTAAAGGCTTCAGCCCCATAAAATGAAACTAGTAGGCTTGGCCACATCCACTTGCCTATCTGATGGTGACCAAGATTGGTCCCAAGATAGCCAGTCATTGGAAAGAATATGTCCTATTTTTTCCCTTGCTGCCATCAAAGGCATTCAAACACACCCATACATTCACACTGTTCCTAGGAGGAAAATAGAAGTTATTGATGGGCTGAACCTTTATTTGCCTTCCCTGGCTTAGAAAAATCTGAGAAATAGCCAGTCCTTAGAAAGGATATGCCAATTTTACCTTTGCTACCATCAAAGGCATTCAAACACACACAGATTGCTCCTAGGAAGAAAATAGAAGCTATTGATGGGCCGAGTCTTTTCTTTGGCTTCAGTGGCTTATAAAAATCCCAGGAATAATCATGAATAACCAATTAATTATTTGTTAAATCAAGTCAGAACTCTTGTGACATCCTGTATTTCTTTAATTGAATCTCAATAAGGCGACGCTATGGGAGAGAGAACGAGAGATGAATAAAAACAAAGCAAGAGAGACATTGAACGGCACAGGAAAAAATCCATACTGTTTGTAATTACACAAGATTTATTGAGCCGGTAACTATCATAACATTCAGAACGCCTGTGTAGGAAACGCTGGTCTGAATACAAAGAGGTGATCATACATTGTCGGTACTAGTAGTGTTGATTGAGTTCTTCTGTTGCTCACGAAATGTCAACCTCATAATGATGGTCGCCGGTGAAACAGATTATCGGCAGCTCCGTGGAATCAAGCTCTTCTCTCACTAATATTGTTAGGTTTCCAATCTTTGTCCTTTGCCATGGAGTCCACGTTGAATCGTACAGGATGTATAATCTCCGTGCTGCATTGACACGATGGACTTTAGTCTGACTTGTTATCTTGTCAATGTAAACAGATGTCGAGAACGTACAATAAAATACAGACTTTTATATTCAGGTACAAAATATGAATTTACATTTTGATTTTTGGAATGAAATTAAAACAGAAATAAACTATAAATGATATTTTTATAAGAATAAAGTAAAAAAATTACTTGCAAGCTTTGGATGGGAGAGATGGACTTGTGTATGATGATCATGATAGTGGGAGAACAGGTTGTAATGGGAGAAAAATGTGACACTGGCTTCGATCAGGGACTTGCCCTTGTCAGATGTCCGGATGACACTCAGTAAAGCTGTGTGTCATGACAACGCTACAGTGCTCACAACCTGACAAAGGGTCAACTCCCTCAAGCTTCACAAATATGTTTGCAGTAATTACTGGTGTATCAAATCTGCTCATGAACTAATGGTATAGGTTTCATGACAAGTAATTAGTTTTGTACGAGAAAATGTTGACCAAAGTACATGGGATAGTAGTTTAGGATTAGCTATCATTGTGTTGTCCATGGTCTTGGTTTAGTTCAGGATTAGCCATCAGTGTGATGTTGTCCATGGTCTTGGTTTAGTTCAGGATTAGCCATCAGTGTGATGTTGTCCATGGTCTTGGTTTAGTTCAGGATTAGCCATCAGTGTGATGTTGTCCATGGTCTTGGTTTAGTTCAGGATTAGCCATCAGTGTGATGTTGTCCATGGTCTTGGTTTAGTTCAGGATTAGCCATCAGTGTGATGTTGTCCATGGTCTTGGTTTAGTTCAGGATTAGCCATCAGTGTGATGTTGTCCATGGTCTTGGTTTAGTTCAGGATTAGCCATCAGTGTGATGTTGTCCATGGTCTTGGTTTAGTTCAGGATTAGCCATCAGTGTGATGTTGTCCATGGTCTTGGTTTAGTTCAGGATTAGCCATCAGTGTGATGTTGTCCATGGACTTGGTTTAGTTCAGGATTAGCCATCAGTGTGTTGTTGTCCATGGTCTTGGTTTTTGACTACTATTTTTTGGTGATTTTTTTTTCTTGTTTTCTTAATTTGTTTATGTACATAAACAATACTGTTCGTTTGTCTGATGAAGGTGACATAGTACAAATCATTCTAGTCATTGAAACATCACATGAATATTTAACTGGTTGTGCTATATGAATCCAATGTTCTTCAAAAAGTTGATATATATGAGTTGATATGTGTTGTCCTTTAATTAAATTGATGTCCATAAACATAGTCCTTGTCCTTGTCCCTGAACAACATTGTTCCACTGATGCCCATAGATTACAACACTGTCCATGAATTTTGTTGTTTTCCTTGCACAACATTGTTCCACTGATGTCCATAGATTACAACTCTGTCCATGAACTTTGTTGTCCTTGCACAACATTGTTCCACTGATGTCCATAGATTACAACACTGTCCATGAAGTTTGTTGTCCTTGCACAACATTGTTCCACTGATGTCCATAGATTACAACACTGTCCATGAAGTTTGTTGTTTTCCTTGCACAACATTGTTCCACTGATGTCCAATTGTAGCATTCTACAATTCTAGCACTGCCACTAGACTACCGTACCTCCTTAATAAGGACTGGGGAAGTGAGGGGGGGGGGGGGCACAAATTCATAGGTCAAGGAAGTAATCACAGGTTGGACATTAAGCAGTATTTCATTTGAGTGGGTACTCACAATCCATGAATTCATGTACCTATGAAATAATGCTTTTACGTGAAACCACAAAGTATGGCCACCACGAAAATCCATGATTTCAAAACAAACTAAGCTCCATCAGGTTCAAATATTACTGATTAGAATACATTCAATTTCAGACATGTGTAATTAACTGCTTATTTTCTATCAAGTAAGACACTCTTTATTTACAGTGAAACCTGTGCAATCTGAACACTGCAGATTTCTGTCTGGAATAAAAAGGTTTTCAGATAAATAAGTTTAATTTACAGTCTCGTATACCTTGAAACCTAATTAAAGGTCTGAATCATAAGAAATATATCAATGTACAATATCACAAATCTGCTTTGTCTATTCCAGATATAAAGGCAGAGACTGGTATGATGTTCCAAGGAGACAGCTGGCAAACAATTCAACTACCCTCATCAGACTGCACCACCAAGTTAAAGCGGGCAACAGGACGACAACACTGGACTCTGGACTGGACACAAGTGGACTCTGGACTGGACACAAGTGGACTCTGGACTGGACACAAGTGGACAATGGTTTGGATTCATCTTGACTCCTAAAAGATTTTATCATTAGACAAGGAAATTGAAACATCTCAGCAATCATCGACACAAAAAACAGTCAACACAAATCTAGATAAACTTATTATGGACTAAAAAGGGACATCTTGGTCTCTTTGCAGGACAACAGGAACAACACACTCAACCACACCTGGATATATGTGTGTGACAAAGAACGAGTAACGTGCACAATGAAAATGTACCAAAATTATTTGGAACATTTCTACAATATTTGTCACACGTGAAATAAGATGGCAAGATAATCTTGTTCCTGGATTGTGTTATAACATCTGTGTGCTTTGATATCTTAGATAACAAGTCTATGGGGCAGCACCTATGCTAGCTAGAATTGTTTCAGCAAAAAAAAAAAGGATGTAATGAAATAAAAAGTTCAGTGGAGTATAATTAACACACTGAAAACAAAATTCATAGCTACTTCCTTAACTGTCCAGTGCAAGAGTTATGTCCCCTTGTGAAATATTAATGCTTTGGAAATGCATCAAGCTTTCTTTACAATTTTCTTTTAAAAAAGGATGCTGGGAAAAAAAGCTTCTCTAGGCTATTTTAAGAATTCAGTGCTAGATAAAATACAGATTGTGCTTCACTGAAAAAGGATTATCAAGATTACTGTCAGGATGGTTGTCTATTTTACTACAACAGAAAGTGATGATGATGACATCGAAGACAACGCCAGCAATGAGGTTACAGATGATTGGTCTTACCGATGCATTAATGCATGACATGGACGAGTGTGTATGTGTAACAAGGTGTTTCCCGTTCCTGCGGAGCATGCATGTATGTGTACTATGAGTAACCAGGTTATGGCTATGGGTATACACAGCACTCAAGCTAGGTACCTCTCTATCTGTGTCTGCATACCAGGTCTGCCAAACCTTTGATGCTAATGAAAAAAATAGGTTGGTGGGGGAGGAAAGTGGGGCCTGGAAGGGGTAATGGCAGAGGTTGTTGGACAGAAGTGGGCTGGGGGGGAGGAAAAATAAATTTGACAAGTTTCAAGCTCAAATTTTGTGATAGTTGTTTAAAAAATTTCATTACTGTTTCAAACACAGTACTCTTTTAGAAATAATTAGGTAAAAAAATATAAATACATGTTTATAGCTTGTGACTTGATAGCCTGAAGCCTATGTTGGTGCTGTGTACACATGCAAGGATGCCACTCCACAATGTAAATCGGTGTCAACTGTAAAGGCATAACAAGAGGGGTGACTGGGTATTACACTTCACTGGTAGAGAGGAAGACGGACCGGGTCATATCGTATGTGCTGGAGTGTGTGCTACATAGCTATCATAATAATGCTAGTAGTACAGTACCTGTATGCCCAAAAATGGTGACTAGGCTAGGAGTTTGTTGAAATGGAACATATTCTGATAGGCTATAAACACAAGGGCTGTGAGACTTTTCTGAAATGGAACATAGACTGTGGAGTATGGTGTTGACGACCCTGTATTAGATATGGGGCTATATAAAACGTTCGGTTTGATTGCTCAAGGAAAGAATGACATCAAGGTAACACAACCTGATGTTACCAGTGTTTTGTAAAGGTAGCTTATAAATAATGTGTGTGCAGAATTAGGAGGTCATAAAATTATTATGACTTGTCAAGAGAGCGAAAGAATGAAAAAACGGGGAAAATTTTATATAGAAATATGTTATTTGTCGCATGTATGTGAAATGTGATCTCACCATAGAGATCAAAACAAAGCGTTCTAGCAAAATACTTTGTTATGGATACCGAGAGAAGGTGTCGCTCGGAGCAAATGTTACTGGAAAAACTGTTACGATATGAGGGTGTTGCTGTATCACTGTTTCTTTTTCATTTTTTCATTTTTTTTTTCCCCTCATGAATTGAATGGCGAATGTGTTACGTTGTGTAGAATGCAGGATGTATATATTCTTTTCCAGTATATATATACAATATATAAATATTATATATATATAAAGACATGTTAACGTGAAATTTACCAGAGAGGGTTTGTTTGTTTCTTTCAATTATTCCACGGTATGACTGTAATATTGCCTGCGGATGTTGCGTGGACGAAATCGTGTGATATAAATGTTACGATATAATTACCTCCATAATTTCCTTTTTATTATTCATTTACCTGGTATACTCCTTCACTGAACTACAAATTCAACTCGGTTGTAAGGCTCGGCAAAGATCCTAAACACAATGTCAATTCTAACATAGGGTAAACATTAAGGTTAAAAGGGTTCTAGGCCGAAAACTAGCCAGTCAGTAGTTTTTACATCAATTGTTCAACTTTCCTGATTATTATAAATAATGCTGATGAAATACAGAATCACACATTTATAATCATCTCATTGATATCCCATTTACTTTATTTTATAGAACGTAGAGTTGGACCCAAGTTCTTAAAGGAACAAAATCATGTTCTGATTTAATTTTCTTTTCTTTTTATTTTTTCTCTCAAAAAATTATAGTTTTGAAGAAATTGATTTCAGAATATAAGTATGATTAAAAGTCTTTTCATTTTATTTTCAGAATTATTTAGAATTTTCCAAATTTTTCATAACATTTGGGTTAAAAAAAAAAAAAAATTGCAAAAAATATTTTTTTAAATGTTTGCTTGTTTTGATTTATGAATAATGTATGCCCATACACTTTCTATTTATTTTTCATAAATCTGGAAAACATACACTTTTTTTTTATATAAATCTGGAAAACTTTATTGTAGGTTCTTTTCCAATGAACTTGAGTCCAGATTTTACTTCTAGTCTCAACTAGAATTGGTCATATAGACATTATTTTTGGTTGTCTTTCATTATATCATAAAGTTGGCCTGCAGTTTTAGATTGTTTTGTCCCCAACTCCACCTACCTACCCTTGAATTCAACTTTTTCTTCTTTAAAATTCCATAGAATTCACCATGTTTTTTCACTTTCTGTTGTAAAATTTTCATAGTTATTCTATTTCATCACCAGGTAGAAATGTACATAGGATATTTGTTTTCAATTGATGATATGTCTGGAGGTGTCAAGCCATTGTGTTTACAAGTACTAGTGAAAAAATACTCAAAAGACTTTCAATGGGAACATGTCAAGGCCATATTCCTGGAGTTGTTGAGCAAGAGTATATATAATCTTGATATATATATGAATATAATTCAGTAAGCCTTCTATTGAGGTAGGACTGATATCTTATTTAGATTAATTTGGAAATAAAAGTGAATGACCTTGACCTTTGACCCTAACCTTGAACCATAAAGTCTGGCCTATTGTACTAACTGGTAAACTACAGAAGATAATTCTTCTCTTTGCAGGATCACAATGTATCTTAAATTCAATCTTTAAAAATGTATTATTTAACTTCTGAATTAAACCATATGGGTTTTATTTTGATGTTAAATTGTTATATTAAACGGGTGTATTTTAAAAGTAAAACGTTGATTTAAAAAAAAAAAAAACAACATTATAATATTACAAATTAAACATACATCTATATGGAAAAAACTGTTTGGTATTATTCAAATAAATCATAAAATTAGGTAAGTTTTAAAGAGAGTTCTTTAATACCAGTTAAGTTCCAGTCATGAGATGTGACATTGCAAAGCACACTTACCTGTAGATTTTTACAGATATTAGCAGTAGTCCTTTTGATTTCTGTATAGCATTCAAAGTAGGAAATTCTTATTTTTGTATATCTTAAAACTGTGATATATGTTTTAGCTGGTGTCGACTATACTTCACACAGGAACTTGTTATTTAAAAACACATATATTTCAAAAGGTGTTATTGATAAAAATAATCAGAAAACATCTACGAAAAAAAAAACCACATTTGAAAGTTGCTTTGTTATCGTCTTGTGATTATCAAACTGCAAGAGAGCAAATATGTATCTTTGTACAGTAATAATAATACATAAATGTTTGACAGTTTTGCTTTCTAAACCTCGTACACTATTGTAGCTAATGAAGGCACTATAGAACCAAATCTAATAGGAATAAGGGAATCCTCTGTATGCTTTTATTAGATAAAGCCATCTTATTGGTTGATTTATATAATCATATCTAAAAATAGACATAGGGAATCCAATACTGCTACATAGCAAATACTCATACCTAAATGTAAAAATAGAAAATGGGGAATCCTTTGTATACCTTTCAATAAATATGATGCAGCTTTTTGATTAACTGCCTGGTAATTTTGTTAACTCATTCACCCCTTAAATTTTCATAATTTACTATTCCAGCCTTTGAATTGGAAGAGTTCAAATGCCTCTTCAGGGGTGAATTAGTTAAAAGCAAGTAGATGTTACTAGTATTGTTTTAGTAATTTTGGTATCATAATTGCAAAGTCTCAAAATTGTTTACTTGAGAAATTTTATTTATTTTATTTAAAACTGTTTTCTCGGCAGTTGTTTGATTTCATAGTTCCAAATTATACTGTCGTAGAATATATTTGCAACCTAAACAAGACTTTATTGTTATCGTCACAGCTTTGGCAGTAAGTTGTAAGATTGTAATCTATTGGGGTGGTTTGGTTCTGTGGTGCCAGACATAAACACATCAATACAAAATGAAGATGGAAAAAAGATGTCTTCATCTAGTCCCGAAAAAAGAATTTTGTTTCGTAACTTACACATTAAGGATGTATGCTACCTTACAATACTTCAACATGTTTCTGTATTCAAAAAGAGTTCGAGTTTTAGAAACCTGTAAAATATCTCTTACCTCAGTTGTTATTTGCACCTAGTCTGTGAATATACAACAGACAGCATTAGTTAAAAACATCACAAGATTTTGAATTAATGATAAGGGAGATAACTCTAATGCAAGTCACAAGTGTAAGATAGCATACATCCTTAACTATTTGCCGTCTCTATTTGTATACTTTCAGGTAGCCTCACTGATCCATTAGTGTTGATATTTTAATTCTAATTTACTACAAATATTAATAGTTTTGATTTTACCATAAATGCTGATTTTTTTTACCCAACTTCAAATGTTTACTTTTACTGTGAATGTTGGTTGTTTACTGAAATAGTCTTTGTCCTTGAAGCTATGAAGGCTGTTTGTGGTTGTATACATATTATGAATCTCTTACCTGCAATGGACAAGATATGATAAGCATTCACGATGGTCCATTTTTTTTTCAAAATAACTTCTTTATGTTTTTAGGGTGCGAAAACACAATATTGATTTGGTGCCATTTTTTAACTTAGTGACAAGAAAAAATATTCAAAATTAGGGCTGATGAAGGAAAATATATTATATACAATGTGTTCCGATACAGTTGTTCTCATAAATAATGTTAATTTTTAATAGGAGTTGGTTTATGTTACACATCCATGCTTGTGCTTCATCTGAACAAATTCAGTTCTCGAAGTTGTGTAAACATATTTAAAAATTATTTATTTGATGTCAATTATTGAAATATTTTAAGAAATGGATAGTATTAACGATATCTACAACTGTGAAATTGAGTAAAGTATATCATTTAACACTTTATTTTTGATTTCTTTGAAAAATAATTGGGGCCAAAAAAAGATCTTATCATACCTTGTCCTTAACTTTTTTAAAACAGCATTTTCGTGATACAGATGCAACGGGTTGTATTTCTGTTCTAATAGTTTTACTCATGCATATACCCTCCGCAATAGATACCTGTTTAGGTTATGGTTTTAAGTTTTAAGATTTTTATGAGTCTTGTTTTGCATTTTTTGATTGATTGGTTATAAACTTGAATTTCTTTCTCATCAATGGTCTAGTTAGAAGTAGTAATTGGTATACTGTATCCAATTTAACCCTTTCACCCCTAGTTAACCTTAGTGGACTCTACCATGCATTTATTGGGATGAGTCCATTATGGTCTACAGTTGTGAAAGGGTTAACGAATGTAATTAATGAGTTATTCTTTCTTAAGAAAATCCTTTGAAATTCTGAGTAGTCTTAAAGAATATGAAAAATATATATATATATATATATATATATGGGGAATAATAAGCAGCTTTTTTTTATTAATGTTTTAATCATTTTGACTTAATTTTTCAAGAAATCTCATGAAGTTTTTAGGTATAAAAACCAAAAGACCCACCAAATGAGAAAGAAATTTGTAAAATATGACTTTAAAGTAAATACTTAATGCCCTACGGTGTAATATAATGAGATTATATTGCAAATATCAGACAACTCAATGCCACGAACAAATTCATTGTCGGAACATTTCTTTGTGTCCTCAAATGACAATGTTCATGTCTTCAAGTTTTCCGATAGCTGATCGACTACTCAAATAATAATGTTTAAAAATACTCTGCACTATTTAATTTTAGAAAGTAGTTTATTTCTTCACTTCCCATTACTTTAATATTGAAGTTTTAGAAAACATTGAACTATTCCATATAGGACCATGAAGTCTGTTTTGGACGATAGGAAAACTCATAGCCTTGTAATTATAACAAAATTTTACAGTGGAATCTAATTAACCCTTTCATCCCTATGTAACTTCAATAGACTATACCATGCTTTGAAGTGGATGAGTCCATTATGGTCTACAGTGATGAAAGGTTTAAACTGAGCATGAACACGACCCACACCAAATATTTTGTTCAACAAAGACGAGAACACTTCCCACACCAAATATTTTGTTCAACAAAGACGAGAACACTTCCCACACCAAACTTTTTGTTCAGCATGGACAGATGTTCTTATTACTGGGGTTCAGTTAACATGGAACACGTCATAGAACAGCTGCCGTAGCAGAAAGTTCAGTTTGTTAAGGTTCCAGAAAACACAGGTCAGTTTAGACAAGTGATCATACATCATGATAAAGATGAAACACAATATATATATTAATCGTGAGATACAGAAATTTATACCTGAATACTCTGAATAATTCCAGAAAGAAAGTTTCTCATTTTGTTTGCTTTGTTTCATTAGTACAGAACACTGTTTTTGTTAAATCAGAGTTTGTAACAGGCAAACAATAACTTAATTAATCTAGTCTGGAAGACAGAGTTGAAATAACATGTATTGTTAATTATTTGTTCTTTGAAGCATGATAAAAATTTAGTTATGAAATATATCTCATAATAGACAAAGCTGATGGATGTGATGTACAAAGTATGTAAACTATACATAAATTGAACTTGTTCCATTTCTTTAATGGTTTTCTGGATAAAACACAGCTTGATCTGATTTCATTCTTATACCTGTCTTTACCATTAGAGTAGGATGTCTGCTAATGTGATTACCACAAAAAATGTAGCGAAAAAGCAATTGAAATCAGTCTTCAGAGCAAGTTTCATTAGAACCCCTCCAGAGTAAAACTGTATAATCTAAACTTCATGCATTTCAATGTTGTTCTAAGTCAGTTCAAAGTTTCCAAACATTGCGGAAATGAAATAT